TTGGGGGAAATGATCTAGTGGGAATGAAGCCTATTGCAGGGGAGGACAAGGACAGTGAGGGAGTGTGACATCAACTCTGATGGGAGGAAGTCCACAGACCCAATTCTGATAGCTCTTGAAATATGATACTTAGTAGAGGTGCCATAAACACCACCTAGTGGTATTTTGGTAAAAGCCAATAATGCTTCACCTATTGGCAAACGAATCTACCTGGAAAAACTACCAAGACAATGAGAATTTAAAGTGATCAAAGCCCTTTTGGATGCTTGTTTTCTCTGTCTACTGTCACTGATATATAGGTCTCCTTTGCCTACATACATGTCTGTTATTGAGTGTTCTACTAGGAAAGAGTAGACGAGTTAGACAACTATTTTTAATAATGTATTTGATGCTCAGAAAAATCTTTTACATTAATCCTGTAAAGAATAGCATCAGGAAAAGAAGACTGCAGTTTATCAGTGAGGTCAGTAAAGTTTCAAGAAAAGATTCCTAAGCTAAGAGAAGGAAGAGCAGTAGTTTCAAGACAGGTTTGGGAAGAGGAAGAGGAGACCCTTGAATTGTTTGCCTGAGCATATAAATTTTGCAAAGCCAAGGAGAAAAATAAGTAGCAAGAAAAATAGACGTAGGAAAAAGAAGGGGTAAAGAAGATGTGAAATACAGAAGGAGTAAGATGAAGAAGAGGGAAGAAAGGTGAAGACATGAAAAGATACTATGCTGCAAACTAAGTACTGAGTACTGAGTTTTAGCAGTGAAAATGGGATCTATACACTAATGGGAAAGAGAATTGTCATCAGAGTTTTTGGCAGCAACACCTTGTGTTAGAAGAAAATCAAGCAGTGACATATTTAAGATACTCAAGGAAAGAAAATGTAAACCAAGAACATACATTCACTGAATCTGATTTCTAAATTAAAATTTCCTAAACTGTTATGACCACACAAGAACTTAGGAAATATTGTTCTCATAGACTATTATTCATTAATAAACTACTGGAGAGTAAACTTCAGGTAATCAAAATGACAGAAATACATCGACATAGTCTCTTGGTGAGCATGAATATACACATATTTTCTTAGAGAACTCAGATAGATGAAGGATATAGGAGATAGTTTAATATAGCTATTAGCACTGGTAATTTAGGTACAGTTCAACTTTAATCAAAGGTGGGAAAATGCAGAGAACATGTACATATTTGAAAACTAATTTTATTAGTCATATGGGTGATTGTATTAAAATTGTTATCCTCAGAATATTTTGTGTGTAATGCTGGATAAAAAAAATTAGCATCCCCAGTGCTCTTGAGTATCAGTATTCTCTATAGTACAGAATTAGGACTGAAAGTATCAGAATGAACTCATGAAGAATTTTTTTTTAAATTCTATCATCTATCTATCTATCATCTATCTATCTACCTACCTACCTACCTACCTACCTACCTATCTACCTCTTCCTTGGAAAGTCCTAGAAATAATGCCCATCTTAGTAACAGTGAACATCCCTAATGTCTAGATTGTGATATTGAAATACCACTTTGCACTAAAAGAAAGCAGGGCTACTTGAAAGACCAGCTGATTTGGGGTCTAGGGCAGACAATGTGTAAGATGAGCCTTGGAGAATGTATCACTCTAGTTAGTAAGGAAGATATCAGAGAATACAACAATGCATTAATAGGACTTGAAAGCCACCTTGGAAAGGCTCTCATTGGCCAATAAGTATAATAGCTAAAATGGAAGAAAACATATTAAATATGTTTCACACATGAAATCATGACACAGATACACACATACAATTAACCAATTGCCTTGATGCAACACAGGGTTAATAAATGTGCACTCAAACATTTGTTTTATCTTTTTTTATATGAAATGATTACTGGGTAACTGAGTTATAGATGAGGCAAAGTTTCTCTTTGTAGAAGTATTGCCACAAATAAATGAAAACAATGATGAAATTGGGTTATCAATATTTTACAATAAGTCATGAGTAATCAAATGTAGGCATCAAGCATTGAGGGTACTAACATCACACAAATGAGAGGCAGCCAGGCATTTTGTGCTTTCTGATAAAGAATTCAAAACTACCATGAAGAATCCTTTCCAAAAAACGAATCCTAATGTATTCTGATTAAGCCTCTTGATCCAATCACCAATGTACAAAAAACAGAGGGCAAAGAAACATGCTAAGCTACATCAGGATGGAAATCAATACATAAAAAAAATAAGCTAGTTTCTTCAAGAAATAAATTGCAAGGAAAAAATGGATATGGAATACAGTAATTGAAAAAGGCTGTAAAAACATGCCTATCCCTGCACCACTGACAGAGAGAGAGAGAGAGAGAG